GCGGGTCCGGGCTGGGGATTCGAACCCGCCACCTTAGGTGTACGTGGCTGGCGCCTTAGCCGGTTGAGCTATAGGCGCCGAGCCTCTCTGGTCTCTTCTAATCTAGAACAGGCCTCTGCCCTTTTCTTCTTCTCTTGACTGCCTTTTTGTGAAAAGACCCGAGGCAGTTCCTTCAGTTTGTCTAATTGTTTCTTCATGATGAGTGCAGGTTAAATATGTCATCATCTGTGGGGGGATTCATAGCTTGCTGTAGCCTCCAACTCCTGGGCCCAAGAGATTCTTCTGCCTCAGCCTTCTAAGTAGCTGGGACTATAGGCATGTACCACCATGCCCAGCTAATTGTAGAGACAGTATTTCTCTGTTGCCCAGGGTGGGTGCCTTTTTTTTTTCTTTTTTTGAGACAGAGTCTTACTACATCACCCTTGGTATAATGCCATGGCATCACAGCTCACAGCAACCTCCAACTCTTAGGCTTAAGTGATTCTCTTCCCTTGGCCTCTTTACCCTTCCTACCCTAACAGGTGCCCACCACTACGCCTGTTTTTGTTGTTGTTACTGTTGTCATTGTTTAGCAGGCCCTGGTCAGGTTCAGACCCACCAGCCTTGGTGCATGTGGCCAGCGCCCTAACCACTGATCATGGGCGCCAAGCCAGGTGGGTGCCCTTTTATTATGCCTTGTTAGAAGGTTCATGATGCCAGCTTGTTCCCCTGTCCATGCTAGGAAGGGCTTCATAGAATTTTTTAAGGTTATCCATTTTTATTTTTTTATTTGTTTATTTTATTTATTTATTTTTGAGACCAAGTCTCATTGTGTCGCCCTTGGTAGACTGCTATGGCATCATAGCTCACAGCAACCTCTAACTCTTGTGCTTACGCAATTCTCTTGCCTCAGCCTCACAAGTAGCTGGAACTACAGGCGCCTGCCATAAGGTCCAGATATTTTTCTGTTGTTGTTGCAGTTGTCATTGTTCTTTAGCAGGCCCGGGCCAGGTTCGAACCCACCTGTCTCAGTGTATGTGGCTGATGCCCTAAGCACTGAGCTACAGGCGCCGAGCCAAGGTCATCCATTTTTAGATCCTTCTACTATAATACTTGAAGAGGGATTACTTTGGCATGCAGCCTGTGGTGACCCTGGGACCCCTCAGGCTCCATTAAGTGGCCTGCAGGTAGCCCAATCCCATGTGATGTGGACAAAACAGCTAGATCCCAAGGGACAGCCAAGTGGGCTGGCTCATTCATAATGGATGGGTTAGAAGACCTCTCAGCTGTTTCCTTGTTTTTGTGGGGAGCACATAAAGAGCATCTTAAAGGGATGAATTATAATTGTATGAATGCACATATCACATATCCCTTCACTTACCTGTACAGAGTGAAGGATGCCTAGAAAGACCTCCAGATTTGTCAGGGCTGGGGTAGTTCTATTTGCCATCCTCATGCTCTGTTGGAATTGAAATATGTACATTCCAGAAATAGCTTTGGTATATGGACTAGGAAAGAGTAGAGAATGAGGGAGTGTAAAATGCTGCAAGACCATAGACCCCATGCTGGGGAAGGAAAGAAGAGACACATGGCTGAGCCTTGGGCAGCAGCTGGCACTGCTTGGGGAGGGGGGAGCCCCAGAGATGGATGGGCTTAAAGGAGGGTCTTTGTGGGCCCACTGCCATAGCCCAGGGACCTAGGACCAGAGACATGGAGAAACACACCAAGGAGACTGGTGCTGATAAAAGGAGAAGGCTGAGCTGTGGGTAAGGCACCAGGATGTGCCAAAATACAGACCTGGCATAGTCTAAGCCCTGGGAGGGCTGAGTGCTATTTTCTAGGGAGGGAGCCCATAGTGAGAAGGGTCAGGGAAGAGGCGCTGGGCCTAAGTCTCAGATTTACTTGTGTTTCAAGCAGTTTCCCTGATGTGATACAACTCATTTTCTAGTTTCACTCACATAATGACAGTCTATGACTTAATGATGGTTTGACTCGTGACTTGTTGACTTTATAATGGTATGAAAATGAAGGTATTCAGTATGCTTCTTGGTTTGCAATGGGACTACATCTAGATAAGCCCACTGTACTTTTGACTTAACAATATTTTCAAGACACAATGGGTTTATCAGGACGTAACCCCTTTGAAAATCAAGCAGCATCTGTATATTCATTTTGGTACAAATGGAAATATTAGTAACTAGCCTGATATAACGAATAAAGTTAATTAGGATGAGGTTAATGTGGTAATTTATGGCAAGGCATGAAGGTAAAGAATATGAAGGGATCTGGCAGGAATTGTGCAGTGATTGGAGAGCAGCTAGTCTTGGATGACAAAGATTGGAGAATGGGTGGACCTGTGGCAGCTTCTGGAACAGGATCCGTGTCAGGCTGTGGGCAGCCACTCTCCCCCTGCAGTTGGATCTGCCTTCCACGGCAGGATTTTCAGTGGTGTAGGGAGAGAACAGCCAGCCATATCCAGTGGGACTTCCCAAGAGGTCTTTCAGGAGTTGCTTCCGCCTGCCTTACCCGCCTATCCTCTCTTGGTCATGTTCTGGCTGTTCATTGGTCCTGGGCTGTGGCAAATGGTGCAGGGCTGCAGGTGCATGTTCGGGGTGGGGCATGGGCCACCAACAGGCTTTGCAGGGCCCCCTCCCCAGCCCCCTTCACGGCTGCATCTGTCTCTTTCCTCCACAGGGGGAGGGGTTGCACCAACTACGCGAGGCTTTGAAGATTTTAGCTGAGAGGGTTTTAATCTTGGAAACAATGATTGGGCTCTATGGTGAGTAGAGACAGACAGACGGACAGACAGCCCAGCCCCTGCCTGCCAGCCTTCCCTAAGCCCTCCTGGGGTAGAACTGGCTTGAGCCAAGTCATGAGGCTGCAGAAGGTGCAGTGTGGCACCTTCTTGTGTCCCAGCCAAGTGTGGGGCTGAGAAGCCATGACCACTTGGCCTGCAATGACTCCTCCTCCACAGGTGGTCCCCTCCTCCACAGGTGGGGGGCCCACCGCTGTGGTCAGACCTCAGCCTCCAGGCATTGTGGGTAGTGTGGTTTCCAGGCCTGCAGGGAACCAGGGATGACAGATTTTGAGTTTGAAAAAAATTATAAGCAATGGACCCAAATTCCAGACCAACACGGGACTATGGGTGACAGCCAGACTCCCACAGTGCAGGGAATTGTGGGTAATGAAGTCGGAGCCCAGGCCCACAGGAAGATTATGGGTAAGGAAACCAGGCTTCCAGCTCTAGAAAAATCACAGGAAAGTCAGTCTCCAGGCCCTTAGGGCAGTAGACTGTGGAGATGGACTCCAGAAGTATAGGAAACTATAGGTAACAGAGCCCAGCTCAGGTCCCGGGGGGACCACCTGCTAGTTCTGACCCTCCTGCCCCATAAGCCCCCAGAAGCTCTCACAGGGCAGGCTTCCCTAGCCTCAAGTGTCTCCCTTGCAGTTCCCCCTTTGGTCCTCCTAACTTGCTCTACAGGCCAGAGAGAGCCAGACCGGCACCCCAGGCATTCACTGAGCAATCCCACACTTATCTGGTCACTTGAGGAGCCAGGCAAGGCCTGTCCCCACCTTAGATAGAGACTCACATCCACAGTCCTGCCCTGAAGCCAGCTAGCAGTGCCCTTCCGTCCTCCTCCCTTGGCTCCCCAGCCCAGCCCTTGGAGGCCAGACTCGCACTGTCTGCTCTTCTCGATCTCCCATCAGGCTCCTAGCTTACAGAGCTTCCTGCAGCAGCAGGCTCAGCTGGAGCTCCTGGCCAGACGAGTCACCCTGCTGGAAGCCATCATCTGGCCAGGTAATGGCAGGGCGGGTAGACAGGGACAGCCCCTTCCAGGAAAGGCCTGGGAAGGGCCCAGGCTTGCAGAAGGTGCCTTCTAATGCTTGCCCAGACCAATGAACATTCATTCTTCATCCTTCCATACATCCAGCAGATGGTGCCTGGCATAGAGAAGACTCTGGCGACTAGCTCTCAAGTGAATGAGTACCTACTCAAGGCCAGGCACCTTATTGGCACAGGATCCACCAAATAAGACAGATACAGCCCTGCCCTCCTGGAGCTTAGAAGGATAGGGAGCTGGGGAGAGCCCTGGCACTGGCAGTGAAACCCAAGGGGAGGTATCTCACAGTGGAGTGACTACAGACAGCCTTGAACATATAGAAATACTTCAGGACCAGGCCTGGGGGAGGTCAAAGGGGGTCTTAGGGATAGTTTCTTGGAGGTGATATCTAAGGGCAAGGATCTGGGGAGAGTAAACAGCATGGGCAAAGGCCAGGAGACCAGAAAGAACCTAGGGGCTGGAGAATCTGGCAGGGCCTAGATTGAGAAGGTGCTAGAAGGCAACCTGGGGCGGGGGCGGGTACAGGAGGTTAGACACCAGGTGAGCAATACCTGCCCCTGTGCCTGGTTCCTTGTGTTGAGGCTAAAGAGGTCTCATCCCATTAAACTGGAGCCTGTGGCTGGCCCTGGAGAAAGGACAGGTTTGGCTACCCTAGGGGCTGGCTCCATTCATCACCTACCTACCTGTCCCATTCACAGCTCATTGAGCAATCTGTGCACAGAGGCTTTGACATCATGTCCAACCTTGAATCTGTTTTACAGACAGAAATAGGTCCCAGGCAAGGATGGTCAAGGTCAGAGCCAAGCCTCCTTCATTCAGCAGGTTTCCAGGGAACATCTACTGAGTGCTAGGCCTGGTTGGTGCTGAGGCCCTTGAGACCAGATAGGTCCCTGCCTTGGGGAGCTGCCTCCTGAGTGGCAGGCAGTCCTCAGTATCTGTAGGCATAAGGCCTATGGGAGCACCAGAGGATATGAATGAGGAACAGTCACTTCTCACTGGGGGCTGGAGAAGACTCCTTGAAAAAGGAGACATTGGCATGGGGTTCTAGAAGACCCCTGTGAATGGGTCAGGTGAAGGAGTAGGAAGGACAGCTATGACAGAGTCTTGTATGAGCGGAGGCCTAGAGGTTGAAAAATGTGTAGGGTCCAAAAGCCCCTCCCACCATGCCCATGGCTTCTTTAACCTCTAGAAACATCAGCAACCATCTCCCAGACCTCCTCCCCTCTTACAGAGAGGACCAAGGACCAAGTCTTGGGCTTTCAGTACCTTTTTAGGTATGCCTTACCTCCTCTCCTAGGAGGATTGGGGCAGGAGCTAGACGGGACACATTTGGGCCACTGTGGCCCTGGATCTTTCCCTCCCTGCCTTCAGCTGGCTAGGTCTCTGACAGGATAGGGAGGAAGTGCCTGGTACCTGGTAAAGCTCATGCCCACTGTCAGTGGCCATGAACCTGGAAGAGCGGCCCCTTGATCTTGGGTTGAAGTCTGGAGGGAGAGATGCAGGAGGGGAGGAACAGAGATAGGACACTCCCAGTAGGCCCAGAATACACAACAGGTGCTAACTAAAAACCCAGATGGGGTTCACATTTAGGTTATAATCAATAATGAAGATAGTAATAACAGCTAACACATGTCTGGCCCACCTTGGCTGAGAGAGTTACATTGTTCGACTCCATTCCTTACAATAAGCACACCAGGTGGGCAAAACCATGCCCATTTTATAAATGAAGAAACAGAGGCTCAGAGGGCTCATATGACTCCCTTAGGGTCATAGGGAAAACAGAAAGGTCCACCCTAGGTCTCTCCTTTATTAAGTTCTGGCTCCTTTCACTCCATCAATAAAGGTTTGCTGCCACTGCCACTTAGCCAGACACTAAGTGGGATCTGAGGGCCCTGAAATTGATCATGTATAGCATCTCATAGCCAACACACAATGACCAGACATGCAGGAGTCTTAGGTCAAAGCCACACTCACCTTAGAGTCCCCATTGCCCAAAGTTATATGGTAGTGTTTAGTGCTCAGTAGAGGTTAGTGGCAGAGTCTGGAACCTCCTGAGACTTTTCCCCCAATGGGTAGCCTAGCCCAAGTGGGTCTGTTCCCTAGCTACAAAATGGGGATGATTCAGGGCATATCTCCACCCCCAAATGAGGAATAGATAAAAAGAACTATACTTTTTAATGGAGTCTTTGCTTATGTACTAAACACTTCATAAATACAATGGATCTGGTTACTCCACTTGACAAAGCAGAAACCAAATAGACACCTTGAGAGCTCTCACTGGATCTTGGGGCTAAGTCCTGGTGGGAGGCACTAAACCAGCCTGCAGACCCTCTCTCCTACAGCTCTGCTCCCAGAGAGCAGGGTGGATTATGCTGTCCTGCCATCCCCCAGAGGGCCAAGAGGAGGTGAGTACCCCACATGGACCCCCCCTAACACGCCCTTTCTCCTTCTTCCCTCCAGCAGAACCAGAGCTGGGGTCTGGGGCAGGCCCTGCTGGCACAGGGACCCCCAGCCTCCTTCGGGGCAAGAGGGGAGGACACACAGCCAACTACCGGATCGTGGCCCCTAGGAGCCGGAATGAGAGAGGCTGAGGGCGGTGGCGGCCCCTAGGGTGGATCAGGCCAGGCTTCCCGTCCTAGCCTGGACTCAGCCAGCTGCCTCCAGGGACCACCTGTCTGTATTTATTAACATCCTCAGGGTCCCTTCTGCCATCCAAGTCTTAAGGGTGGACAGGTCTTGATCCTGGCACCTCACATACATATGAGGCTGAGCAGAGACTAGGGCCCAAGCTACAGACAAGGTGAGGCCTGGGCCTCAGTTTCCCTGTGTGAAAAGAGATGATGTTATCCTTCAAGGTCAAAGTCTTCTTATCTTCTCATCAGCCATCTATGTACCCATCCCCAAAGACCCTAGGGAGTAGGGAGCCAGAAGCGAATGACCAGAAGGTACCTCCTTCCCTCTCTTCCCCAGCCAAACAGTGAGGAGTGCCCCTGCAACCTGCCTCATTTCCAATACTGGGTTCCCAACCCTGAGGTCATGCTGCCTCTCCTTGAGCTTGACTGGATTGTGGGGGGTCCTCACCTCATTTCTGCCCCCAGCCTCTCCCCAGTGTCCCAGGTAGGAGGGTGGGGACATGGAGAGGAAGGGGCCATTTGCTGCCATCAGCATGTGTGACAGATCAGGAGGTGGCTGTGTCCTGTCCAATAAAAGCCCTCACCTGATCTCACCCAGCCTGATCTCAATGTGTGCTCAGATGGGGGCAGCAGAAAAAGGCTGTCCAAGCCAAGGACAGGATGGGCGGAAATTAGCCAGAAACAAGCAGGGAACAATGCTCTGCGCTGGAAAGACAGCCTGGAGGAAGAGGCTGCACAGTGCAGGACAGGAACTGTGTCTCTGGACATCAAGGAGCAGCTCTCCACAACTGTTCATTCATTGTTCACTCATTCATTAATGCCAATACAGAGGAGTCAGACACAACTGCTGCCTCCAAAGAGGTCCAGGTTGAAAAACAAGTGGATTTTTATTCTAAATAGTACCAGGGCAGCAATGATCCAATCCTGCCCCCCAGAATGCCTCCATACCCCTGTGGCCCTCATACTACCCACCCACAGGCCAGACCTCATCACTCAAGGGCCTGGTGCTCCCACTCTCTGCCTAGGCTATGGGGGCCCAGGGCCCTCAGGGTGGGCAGGCCCACATTTTCCCTCAGTTACCAGGGCTTCTGTGCCCACCTGCCCCCCAACCAGCAGCGACACAGCACCCTCCACACGGCCTGTGGCTGCAAGTGCTACCACTGCCTGCTCCGTGGGGAAGCCCATGCGCTCCAGCTGCTGTAGCCTGTGAGGTGGGATTGGGAGGGCAAGGAGGGAGTGTCAAGGCCACCTCCAGCCCCCCGGCACCAGAGCACCCCATCCCTGCCCACCCCACCTTACCGCAAAGAGGAGACGGAGGACTTGGGGAGCCATAGTGGGCCCTGGGGCCCCTGGGCTGACCCATCAAGGAGTGAAGCCTGGATCCCCTCCTGTAGCATCTGCTCATCCAGGGATGCCCACATTGGAGTTCCTGGGGAGCAGTTCACTGCAGCCCAGGCCAGGCCCACCTCTGATGAGCCCTCCCAGGTCGGTTGTACAGGTCTCAGGCCTGGTGGGAGCAGGGCTAAGCCTTCACTTTGGGACCAGAGGCCAGGGGAGGCCACATAAGGAGGTCTGGGGGTGGGTGGCCTGGAGAAGCAGAAGAGAGCCTGAGTATGGCCCTGCCCAGCATCTACCACCTGGGCCAATGTCCCCAGTGTCATCCTCACCTCCCTCTGGCAGGATCAGTGACAGGCAGCTCAGCCAGGCTACCTGAGGTGGGAAAGAGCCTCAACGGCCAGCACACTGCCAGGGTCCGGCACAAGATGCCCTCCTGAAGCGCCTGCAGCCGCTGCTCTGAGAGGTCCAGCCACTGGAAGGCCCCAGTGGCATCTGTCTGCCCAGGGCAGGGCGGCCGGTCAAGGAAAAACAAAACCAGACAGAGGTAGACCCACACTGCATGCCAGCCCTGCTGTACCAAGCACGTGCTAGGCATTCCCTTGTGTCTCTTCACTACAGCCCAACAAGGAACAGCATCCTTCTGGTCAGCAGTGGAAAGCGCAGGGAGGAAAAGGGACCTGCCTGAAGCCACCAGAGGCACACCCAAATGTGCCTCACTCCAAAACCTGAGCTCATCCCTGCTTCCCCAACCCGTGATCCACTCTTCCCAGAGCTCTGTGTGCCTGCTGAGGACTGTGACTTCTCCCAAACCCCTTTTCACCTTCAGCCAGGCCAATGTGCTCCTTATTCAGACAGGCCTGGGCAGCTGGTGTCCCCAATCCAAGACAAACTCCTCCCTTGAAAGCCACAACTCTACGGGGTCAGCCTATTTTCATTGGCAGCGATGTTTCCTGACTGGTATTAAGCATCTTGGGAGCAAAAGTCTGTGTTTAAGCCACTTGCACTTCTGACCATTCATCACTGCCTTTCCCTTTCCAGAGGCAGGGATTCCCTGCCTGCCCCCAGCCCTGGCCTTTATGCCATCTGCCTACTCTTTTCACTTCAATGAACCACCTCCTCTTGCATGGAGGTCCAGGTGTATGCCACCTCAGTCCCACAAGGCTTCCCCAAAGCCCTTTAAATTGTAACTAGCACGTCCACCTGGCCATGAGTCCTTAGTCCCCAACCCAGAGCATGGCCCAAAGGAGAACTCAGAGGTGCTCCTGCAATGTGTGTGCATAGCATCCTGGCATTACTCAGATCTGACTCCACTGTCCCACTTCCTTCCCAGGCACTCATAGAAACCACATGTTCCAACAAGCCCTGGACTCAGGCAAAGGATACAGGCCAGGCCAGCAAAGAGGCCACAAAGAAGCTGCAGGAAGGGTGGCTCAGAGCTGAGCAGCGGGGTCAGGACAAGGAGCAGCCACGGCAGCAGCCATGATGGCAGCAGCCCATGGGGCTGTCTAGAGCAATGACCCTGCCCAGCCAACATGGCTAGGTGCACAGGCATGTATCCACAGCCACCAGCTGCACTGGATACCCCAAGGCCTGCCAGCAGTATAGCCAGCAGCCCAGTGGCCAGGGCAAGCAGGACGGAGGAGTGCAGGAACCGCAGTGTGCCCAGGTGGCACTCCTGTTGCCAACCCAAGGCAGGTAGAAGCAGCAGGCTCAGAAGCAGGCTTGGCAGGGCCGTGTGGCCCAGGGCATGGGTAAGCAGCCGGTGCACTAGGGGGCAGAAGGCACTTATATGTCAGGTTTGTGGCACCAACCTCTGAGGCTAGCCCAGGTGTGTCAAGCTGGGGGTTACACTCCAGTGCCACCTGTTCAGCCAGCCTCCCCCAGCAGCCAATCCACCCACCACTGGCACTTAATCATTGGAAGAGGGGACCGAGGGCTACCAAACACTGTGGCTACTCCCTTGCTGCATTAAAGAGAACAAGCCTGACCCACCACTCCATCTTCTCAATAGCAACCTAGTAGTGAGTGCTAGGCAGTCCCAGGCAGCAGGAAGGTGCTTCACTTACACCCTATTAAGAACGGGAGTTCTGATGAGAGTGCCTGCTCCAATCTTGAGCTATCCCATTCCCCCAAGCTGTGTGACCTTGGACAAATCACTCTGAGAGTCCTCTGGGTTCCTCAAATGTAAACTGGAGCTGTTGTTCTTATTGGGGAACAAGTGCTCAGCTAGGGTCACTCCTTGAACTCCCCAAACCTATTCCCCATCCTCATGCTTAGGTAAAAGTCTTAGGTCCTATTTCAAGGGAAAGCTGTCACAAAAGCTGTCAGAAAGGAATTCCTATCCACAGGTTCCCACACCACTTTGCTGGCCCCTCTGCTGGGTCCTCTGCCTTCTCTTGACTGTGGGTGAGCTGGGCATGCTCTCGTCTAAGGCCAACCTTCCCCAGGGCACTGGGCCTATCCCTGCTTGACCATAGCAGGGTACACACTGCTCCTACCAACTGGTCTCAGGCCTGACCGCAAGTTCCTGCCTCTTCCAAGGTCCATATGGCTGGTCCTTACCCTGCCAGGGGTCCAGCAGCAGCTCCGGTGCCAGGGTGAGGCTGGGGCCAGCACCCACCAGCCACAGGCTGCTCAGCAGTAGCATTAGGGCTGAAGAGGCAAGAGGCAGTGCTGGGGACAGGAGGCCAGGGGGACCCAGGGCACACATAGTTCAGTTGAGTGTGGTCAAGTGTGGTCCTCGGGCCAGGTGCTGGGGGTAAAGGAAAACATAACCAGTCATTAATGCAGTTTTTATCTGACACACACTCAACTACCTTACCAACAGCCCCATTTTACAGAGGTAGAAACGGGCTAGAAAGGCAGACTCAGCAGCCTGGCTGTAGCAGAGCTCAGACCCTAACCAGTGTGCTTACTAATCATTTTGTCTGTGTGAGGAAGAATAGGGGACAAGCATTAAGAGATGAGTCCTGATAGGCCCTGAAGTCTTGAGTTGGAGGCACAGGGCCACGGATATTGAAATGGGGCCATGGACTCCCACAAAGAGGGGCACAGCCCCTAGGACAAATTCAGGACCATCTCTAGCTCTTTTTTGTCTCCTTCTCTCCTCACGGGGCCAGTCAATGGACAAGCTGATTGGTGGGGAAGAGCAGAAGGGGTGGAGGAAGGGCAGCAGGTATCCCACACCCTGAACCATACTAAGAGATCTGTAACTGAGCCATTCCATTCCTCCCCAGCCCAGAGTACAGCCCGTTTGGGCCTATCGCCCTTTGTACTGGAAGGTTCCAGTATTCACTCTCTTTCTGCTACATGTCCCCAGGAAAGTTTCCCAACCTCTGAGCCTCTCCTTCCTCACCTGTAAAATGGGGATTAGAAAAATCTCTTCCTGGCCAGGTGCAGTATTAACGCCTCTAATCCCAGTGCTTTGGGAGGCCAAGGTAGGATTGCTTGAGGCCAGGAGTTCAAAACCAGCCTGGGCAACATAGCACCTTGCTGATCCCAGCTTTGACCCTCAAACACAGCCATTCCTTGTCCACAAAGTAAGGCTCTTTCTCCTCTGTGTTCCCCATTTGCTTTGAGTCTGTCCTCCAGACCCCACTGGAACTTTTTTCAACCCTGGTCAGGACTCTTTGTCCCAGGGCTCCCACTGGGCTGATTCATGGCAGGAAGCAGGATACCAGAGAAACAAGAAGGCTGCTTCATCTGTCCCTTGCCAAGGGTATCCTCTGTATCTACCAGTTTCCTGCAGGAAAAATGTGGAAAGCTCCCCTGTCCCTGCCTAAAATGTCCTTTCCTCCATCTCTCCAATGGGCAAACTCCTACTCACCCTATGAAGCCCATCCCAAATGTCTCCTTCCCCTCCTCTGGCCCCCACATCATGAATCTTATCCTATCTTATGAGCACAGGTTGGCCTGTCTCCCTAGACAACTGGGGGTAGCTCCTTTTAACTTATCCCCAAGCACCTCAGGGTTCTTCCAACACACAGCTGGTGCTTGATGTGTATTTACTGCAAGAAAGAGGTTAGGTTGGCTCTGCTCCTGCTGAGGTATTTGAGGGTGAGCCCTGCCCTTTGCTGGGCCTAGGCATCCACCTACCGGGCTGGGCTGAGATCCAAGAAGGTGGGCAGATGGCATCCCTGCCTGGAAGCAGCATCTAGGACCAAAGCAGCTACTGCAAGCGTCCTTGCAACCATTTCCCCTGAATCCAAGGTTCTTTAACAAGGATGAAGGACTTGGCCATGGACACTCAGAACTGGGACCTGAGCCCTCGGGACCTCAGTTTCTTCAACCTATAAAACGTGGCTATACACCATCAGGCCCTGCCTACCTTACTGGGAAGCCAGGACAGAACAGGAAGACAAGGACAAGGAAGACTCTTCCGGGTGGTGGGCAGAGTGAGGGTCCCAGGGTCTGCTTGGGTCGAAATCAGCTTTGTGACTTTGGAAAGGTACTCAATTTCCTTGACCCTCAGTTTCCCCTTCTGTAAAAACAAAGGTATTGGACACAGGAAGATTAAAAGGGCCTTCTCAACCTCGACCGTTACTGGGGCGAGGGGCGGGGGGAATGCGGGCAGGTCTCGGGGCCCGGAGCGGCGTTCGGGGCCTCCCACTTAGCCGGCCGGCCTCGGCCCCCTCCCACACCGGCCCCGGCCACGCGTCCGGGGTACTCACTGCGGAGCGCGCCCCCCACCCCGAAGGCCAGGCGGGAATCGCGACTAGGAGTCGGGACTTTATCTCCCGACCGCGACCCGGGAACCCCCGAACCTCTTCAGCTTACACCTAGATAAGTGACCACGGCCCTCTGGCCGGCGTGCCACCTCCACCCCACCCCACCCCCCCAACCCGCCGCCAGCCGATTAGTCAGCAGTTGTTTTAGGCCTGGGTCCCTTCCCCCAGCCCTTCCGCCAGTCTTCGTTTTCCTCCAGGGCAGACTCTTCAGAGACGGTCCCTAGAGCCAGCGGACTTAACCATTCCAAACCACCTAGCCTTGTGCAAAGAATCGCTCCGGCTTGATACAGAGATCCATTCCCCAATGCTCAGGCCTCTTAGTTGCTATTTTGGCCCGAATGTCGCGTTCGTCGCTCTTTAGAGAGGATTGGAAATAGAGCTGCAGACGTGAAGAACGAAAAAGCCACGGTTCATCCTTCCTTACCGCACCCCCGTGGCCTGGCCAGATGGTAGCGCCCGAGGTTGCGGGGTCTGCGCCTGCGCAGTGCGGCGCCTAGAGGGAAAGCGAGAGGGAGACGGACGTTGAGAGAACGAGGAGGAAGGAGAGAAAATGGCGTCCACGGGTAAGTGTGGTGGAACTGCGGTCGTGCTGGCGACAACCGGGACGCCCAAACTAGGGGCTGCTCATCTGTAGGGGTGGTGGGGACGAATGAGTGGAGTTGCCCAGAAGGGTTTGAGGTACCCGCCGCGGTTCGACGAGTTCGGGGACCCGCGTTCCTCTCCCCTCCCCCCACCGGGCGAGCCGATTCTGGAACCTTCCGGCGCGCGGGGGGCTTGCGGCGGTGGGGGCGCGTGGGCCCTGTTTTGGCCTCCATTGTGTGGCGGTCGTCGGGCCCCGCGCGGCAGGCAGCCCGCCACGTGGGCGGAGCCTGTGGCCTCCGCGGCCCCGCGTGAGGGGGTATCTGGCCGGGCTTTAGGCCAGTCCCCCCGAAACCGGCGGGAGAGCCCGGATGGCGGCTGGAGAAACCGCGGGCCTGCTGCCTCAGTGACGCTTCCTTCCAGGTGTTCAGGCATCTAGCCCTACCCCGAGGGCGACTCTTTTTCACTGAAAAAACCCGAGGGGAAAAAGCAAATAAACAAAAAGGACATCACGGATTTGCGAGCCGAGGGGCACCGGCCTATCAGCTGGAGCCCCGTCATCTTTACGGCCTGGTCGGCTGAGGCGTCCGGCACCGCCGAAATGCCTCCCTGGGCGGCGTCTAGCTCCAAGCCGGACTTTTAGCTTGAATGTGTGCACTCCCTGTAGGGCCCCCTAATTTACCGTCTCCTTGGGCTTCTCGGGTTTTATCGTTGTTAACCCCATCTCCTTTTTTCTTTAAAAAGTAATTACGTGGCTTCCCAGAGCCGTTTTTCTGCAAATGCCGAAGGACATCCGTTGTATAATAAGGCCAGCCTGGATCGAGAGACCAGAAATCTTTGCAGAAAGAAATTTCTGGTCTCTCTGACCTAGGAGGAACAAAAGGCCGGGCCGGCGTTTGAATTACGCTTAAGCACTCGTTTCGCACGTTTGTCCGCCCGCGTTAGGCCGGTAGGCTTGTTTATTTCGCGGACCGAGAGGAGAGGTAAAGAAGGCGAGTGGTGAATTTGAAAGAAAGCCCAGGTGGGGGCTCTAGAATGCGGGGGACAAGCGGTGTCCTTACTGCTGGAGTGTTGAAGAGCGTGGCCAACCGTCCCCCGCGGTTTGCGGTCCGCTGGGACTCTAACCCATCTGGGACTCTAACCCATCGTGGTTCGCAAGGTGGAGCATTTTTGCCTGCAAGGGGTGGGTGTTCTTAGGCCGCCTGGCTCCAGGCCTTAGAGACAGTGGGAGAAGATGCTAGGGAAGACAGCAAAAGATGTGGGTGGGTTCCTAGTTTTAATATGGAAAGAGTCCAGAATTAAGATTTTAAAACTTAACCTCAATTCTGTGGTTAGTAAACAGACGAGTGTTGGCTGTTCATGCCAGGATACCAAAGAGTGTGCCCCTGGAAATAACCAGTCTAAAGTATCTTGGTGGGAAATGGTTTACCAGGTGCCCCTTTCTAGCCTCTCCTCCCCCTGCTAAAGGCAAAACGTGCACGTTGAAGCTTTTGCGTGGCTGGACATGCCTTTTTTTCAGACAACTGTTCAACCTTTGTTTACGGGTAAACCCCATGTACAGTGTTAGAATTATAGACATAACATTTATTGGGGCTGGCTGGGGGATCTTTGAGGAGTGCTATCTGGACTTTAGCTTCCTTTCTTGCAAAATATGGGAGTTGGACTAGAGACCTTTTCAAAGCTTTTTGAGTCCTTTCTTGCAGCAAAGTATTTTGCCCATCCATGTAGTCTGAAGATCTAAATCTCTACAGCTTGGATAAAGTATCTAAGCTGCTACCTTGAATAATAGTAGATGTTTACCCCCATGTAGTATAGCTCATATAGAAAAACATCTAAAGTATATGTCCAGGCTCGGCACCTATAGCTCAACCGGCTAAGGCGCCAGCCACGTACACCTAAGGTGGCGGGTTCGAATCCCCAGCCCGGACCCGCCAAAACAACAACGACGGCTACAACCAAAAAATGGCCCGGCGTTGTGGCGGGCGCCTGTGGTCCCAGCTACTTGGGAGGCAGAGGCAGGAGACTCGCTTGAGCCCAGGAGTTGGAGGTTGCTGTGAGCTGTAATGCCACGGCACTCTGCCCAGGGGGACAGCTTGAGGCTCTGTCTCAAAAAAAAAAAAATTAAAAAAAAATAAAGTATATGTCCAGTTTAACAAAGAATTAAAATGCAAGCTCCCAAATAACCACTGTTCTGACCAAGAAATAGAATATTGTCAACACTCTAGAGCTCCCCCCCCATCACAGCTTTTTTTTTTTTTTTTTTTTTTACTTAATCTGTACTGGATTTCTAGTAAAATTTTCATTTGGCACATCGGCGATTAAAAAAACACATAGATCCTTAAATTATCTGACTAATTTGTATGTTAAAAGCTAGCATATTTGAGGCCATATAATATCTGCACTAAAAAGATAAATTCTTATGAAACAAGTTTGCTGCCTCCCTTAGCCCACCTGCAAAGGGCCAAATCCTCTGGTTTCACACTGATAGGTCGTTAGTTGTTCATATCAGCTTTGCCAGTTCTACCTTTTACATAACTGCTCTTGTGTAAAAGTCTTCTTGCAGACATTGAACTTACATGTCAGTGATTTGGGATCATTTCTCATTCAAAGATCTCAGCAATATATATGTACCTAGAAATATTTGGTTTCAGATGCTTCATTGTTGTGTTTATTTTGCTGATGTCACATGGAAAAAATGATTTGTATTTAATTTTTATATGCCACATAAAAAGTATGACTTGTAGTGTTAAATGCTTTAAGATTGTCCTGGAACAGATGAGTCTGTTCATTGTAGATAGCGTTTGGGCAGTTGATTTGATTGTGATGATTCAGAGTTCTGAGTTAAGAGGGTATTCACAAAGGAAAGAAAGCAGCCCAATGGAGTGTAAAGAGTTAGAAAAGCCAATTTAAAGAGGTGAATTCAGCAAAGTTCTGTTCAGGCCAGAGGATTGTGAGGCTAACTTTGGATTGCATGGAGTGGGGTAGATCTCCTCCATAAAGGGTTTGGCTTTTGGATGAAGAATTTTCTGATTGGAAAAGAAAGGACCCTTTTGTTCTGTCTTAATGCCAATACTAGTCTTCAAATATAAACAAGATACATATTCTCTTGGAGAGGAAAGAATTGAGCAGAATTTTTAGAAATAATGAACCATATTCATCATATAGTCTCAGTTCTGAGACACTTTTTTTGCAGTTTTTGGCCGGGGTCGGGTTTGAACCTGCCACCTCTGGTATATGTGGCCGGCACCCTACTCCTTTGAGCCACAGGCACCACCCTAGAAATGATTAACCATATTTTTTTAAAAAAAACTTAAACTTACTTAAAGGTAGTGTTTTGAAAACTTAACTATTTTTTCTATTTGTTTCCACTACTTGTAGGCATCTCAGTTGACCAGAGTTTCATAAATTGAATATGTAAAGGAAAATTATAGAAAGGTTTATTTGAAAAAGGAAAGAAAATTCTGGTACTTTTTTTTAAGAGTTTGAAGTCACTTTGAGTTTTTTTGATTTGTTTTGTTTTGTTTTGTTTGAGACAGAGTCTCAATTTTTTGCCCTCGATAGAGTGCTGTGGTGTCATACCTCACAGTAACCTCAAACTCTTGGGCTTAAGTGATCCTCTTGCCTCAGCTTTCCAAGTAGCTGGAACCACAGACACCCACCACAACACCTGGCTATTTTTGGAGGGGAGGTCTCACTCTTGCTTAGGTTGGTCTCGAACTCTTGAGCTCAAGCAATCATCTCGCTTCAGCCTCCCAGAGTGCTGGGATTATAGGCATGAGCCACCGAGCCCAGCTATCACTTTTGAGTTTTGAGAAATAGTGATGGTGTTACCTGAAACTGATTATTCCCAGAAAAAATAAGTCCTTTCTCTGTCATTTTCAGGATTCTGTCTTAACTGTCCCTTGCTAGGATTTATAATACATCTAGCTTTTGAATTATTGTGCAGATGTAACTCTGATAGTCAGCAAACCCATTGTTGTGGCTATTTTTGCCATTCTATTTCACTATCACTGTACTAGGGAATTAGGGTGGGCCTAACTTGCTAAAGTGAAGGGAGTAATAATATAACTAATTTTTGAAGAGAGCTAGCTACTAAAATAACCAGCTTGAGGTTAAACATAATATTGTTGCATGCCTATTTATGTGAAGGAGAAAACTTCCCCTAGCTCAAGGGTTACACACTGACCACATAGCTGAGGCTGGCGAGTTTGAACCCAGCCCAGGCCTGCTAAACAACGACAACTACAACAAAAAATAGCCGTGTATGTGGCCGGCACCTATAGTCCCAGCTACTTGAGAGGCTGAGGCAAGAGAATTGCTTTAGCCCAAGAGTTCGAGGTCACTGTGAACTGTGGTGCCACAGCACTCATAGCATAGCAAGACTGTCTCAAAAAAAAGAAAAAAAACTTCTGATCTCCTTAATGGGCCCTCTTCTCACTCTGAGATGATGATGTATTTGAAGTGACATTCTGCGGTTGAGGGGGGTTTGTGGTTGTGGGAACATGGAAATGTCCATGCCACATGACCAGGGTTTCACCTGACCTCATTAGCCAGCATCAT